AAGGAGGGCTGTTTGGTGAGGGCCCCCCTCCCGCCTGTCACCTGCCCCTTCGTCAGAGCAGCAGCAGCGAGGGCTGCGCTCCTCCCGGCTGGGCCGCTGGGCAGGGCGGGCTGCGGGACGAGGCCGCTGCGGGCGGCGGCAGGCAGGGCGGCGTCACGGGCGCTGTCACCCAGGCCGCGCTTTCGCTCAGTCAGTCATCGAGGGACGCTGAGCATCCGCTGTGCCGGCGCCGCTGGCGGCACCGGGAATGCAGCAGAGCCCTGACGTCGCCTGCACGGCTTTGCTGCGACGACGAGGGGCCAGGGAGAGGGCAGCTCGGAGGGGCAGGTGCATGGAACACAGAGAAGCAGGGGCTGGGTGGGACAGGGAGTCAGGGAGCGTCCTCAAGAGGGGACATTCGAGCAGAGCCTGGAACGACGGAGGGCATGCCTTGTGTCCCGCTTCCCGAAAAAGGGACCGCAGGCGAGGAGGGTCCCCTGCTCCTCGTGTCCCCTCAGCAGGGGCTGGAACGTGTGTGGACTCAGCAGTAACCGGCAGTGCTGAACTGAGCGTCTCCTCCTGAACTCAGCTTCCTAAAAACGAACAGGCACTACCAAGGCAGAGCACTTTCCCCTCCCAGGAAAAGGATGTCAGTCACATGCCGGCGTTCTCATCAGAAAAATCACGAAACGGACACTCGGTGAAGCGGGAGGGCGGTGGCCGCCAGCTGCGGGCCCGGGGCTGCGGGGACGGCTGCGGCGGGGGCTGGCGCTGGGCTCTGGAAAGCCCCCCTCTTCAGACTTCCGGGGACAAAACGCAAGGCCATGGCCCTGGAGGGGTCACAGATGCCCTGCACCGGCTCGATAAGGAGGAGACGCTCCCTGAGGGAGGCATTTAAATGCCTGTGACAGAACAGACTTAGGGAAGCCAGGGGCGCGTGACTGTCTCCGAGCTCCTCCCTGCACCTCTGGTATTAAACCTGCGGCGCAGGTGGCAGTGTCCCCTCTTGGTGATGTGGACCTGAGCCTGCGATCTCAGGGGCTGGACTTTGGCTTTCTGATTCCCCACACTGTGTTGGTACGGGCTTCCCGGCCAGCGCCGCTTCGCTGTTCCTTACCCGAGGAAGGCTGAGGACAGAGGGCGGGGCCTAGAGGGCGGGGTCTAGAGGGCGGGGTCTAGAGGGCGGGCTGGGGGCGGGGCCTCGAGAACGGGCCGGGGAGGGGCCTCTCGTGGTCTTGTCTCTTCAGGCTCTGTAACCGTCCCTCAGTCTTTCCTTGTCTTTCACGGGATTGACATTTTGAAAGGGTATAGGCCAGTTATTTTGGAGATTGTCCCTCACTTTGGGCTGTCTGATGTTCCCTTCTGATTAGAGTCAGGGTATGCATTTCTGGCATGTCTGTCGTCTCAGTGCATTTCATCAGGAGGCTCAGGATGAATATTTGTTCCATTAGTGGCGAGGTGCACTTTGTTTCAGGTGGCGTTCACCAGATTTCTCCACTGTCAGATTACTAATTCCCCCTTGGTAATTAAGAAGTATCTATGAGAGCTACTTTGAGATTACTTAAATATACTGTTACTCTTCAAACTTTTAACCAGTACTTTAGCATTTATCAGAGATTCTTGGTGGTTGCCAAAGGGTGACTTTCTGATTCCATTATTCCTTCCACATTTATTAGGTGACTTTCCACTGGAAGAAAGAGCTTCCCATCTCCCCTTTATATTTATGTATGTACTCAAGAGTGATCTCATGGGCCCTTATTTAAGTCAGAGGGTTATAACTCTTTACTGTGATTATGTAATTTCACACTCAATCCCAGATAAACCTGTGGCAGCCCCTTCAGAGTGGTTTCTGTGTTCTTTTGACATCTTCCCATGTCGAAAGTAAACACTTCCTTAATTTCTGGCACAAGGAGGTGTTTCAGCCTCCTCATCCCTCCCTGCCCCAGCCTGGGATTTAGTCATTTCTTCAAGGCGTCCTGGTTCCTTTGAGTGGAGAATGGTATTTAGAAACCAATATCTGAGTACTAGGTATGCTCATTGCTATTGGGGTGTTATTGCTGCTAGGCCCTTTCAGCAGACAGAGCTAGGAAATATATGAATGCACATGCATCCAGACATACATGTGTATGTGTGGTAGGCACACAGCCCCGATTTCCCTGCCGTATGTCCCTGTAGTTATGCTTTGTATAATCCTTTCCCCTTGAGTGGGATGGACTGAGTGGCTCACTTCTAATGAACAGAGTGTGGCAAAAGTGATGGGCCATCACTTCAGATATTTCGTTTCAAAGACACTGTGACCTTTGACCTACTTGCCCTCTTTTGCTTGCTCACTGTGAGGGCACCAGCTGCCATGTCACAGGCTACCCTAAGGAGAGGCTCATGTGGCAAGGAGCCACATGAGTGAGCATAGAAATGGATCCTCCCCAGTCTCATTCCTTCCAATGAGACCATGGCCCCCATCCATAGCTTGATCGAATCCTTGTGAGAGACCCAGAGTCAGAAGTGCCTTGCTAAGCCACATCCAATTCCTGGTCCACAGAAACCAGGAGATAATCAAAACATTGTTTGTTATTTTAAGCCACTAAGTTATGGGGCAATTTCTTATGTGATGCAGTAGGTAACTAATACAATATGCCACATCTACATGTACTATCTCCACTTTCCATATTTGTAACTCCCTTCCCCAATTATCCACAATATATTGATTTATCTGTTCAGTCCTAGAATACACAGCAAGCAGTTTCAGGATTGCTATCCTGTGTCTCTGTGAAAAAGTAACCCACTAATGGGAGTTCAGTATTGTTTAGAGTTCTCATTGACTTTAGTTGGCATATAGTCCAAATACTGTGACCCCTGTGCTTTTTAAAAAACTTGGGCATGCTCCCCCAGCTTCTCTGGGAAGGGAGGTGTAAAATGCAAATGGGAAAAGCACACTTTCTTTCCAGACAGCAAATGCTCTGCTTTGTTATGTTGTGTTATGTTGCACAGGATTGTTAATAACATTCCATGTAAGAGATGCTCTGCACTCTGTCCTCTGAGCTGATGCTGTCTGCTCTCTTCTCTTTAGCACAAAAGCACCAACCTCTGAGGCCACTGAGGTAGTTTTCAAGCAGTCATTAAATTATTTGGAGAGAAAAGTATACAGTGTTGCTTTTAGAAGGTCCCTGGCGATGGTTTTGAATTGTAATCATTCCTGATTTTCAAAAAGAGGCCAAATGACCAACTGACTCTGGGATTTTCCCAGAAAGGCTCGGTTTGGGCGGGACTTGCAAGTCCTGTCTCTGAGTGGCTGGGACTGGGGCCAGGATTCTTGTGGAGCAAGAAATGGGGTCTCAAGTTCTTGACATGACCTCACCAAGGAAGGCCTCTGTGATGCTGAGTTGTCACCACAGCTCTCTGAGGAGGCAACCTCTGCAGAGGCAGGAGAGTCCCCAGATCAGCACTACTGCTTGGGTGGGTGGGGGTGGCCAGGAGGTCAGCACTGAGGCTTATCCTACTAGACACCTCGTGTCATGCCCTGGTCACAGGTCACATTGTGATGCTCTCCATGGAGCATCGTATGTGGAAAAGTGGCCAAGAAAATGAGGCTCTGCCCTCAAAACTTTCTCTAAGATCTGACTCAGGATTCTCATGCTAAGCTGTTCCATTTCTCTGTGCCTGCCAACCCACTTCACTTCCACCCCAGAGACATGCACGCAGACATGCACACCACAGACACACACACACACACCACACACATCTTACACACACCACATAATACACTGTGCACATACCACACATCGCACACACACACACCCCACACATATCACATCCCCACACACACAACACATGTACCACAGACACACAACACACACATACGTACCCACTCATATACACACACACACCACACCACACACTTCATACACTATACATACCTTGTACACACACACACCACACATATCATACCCCACACACATCACTCATGCACCACAGACACACACACACATGTACCCACTCATATACACACCTATCATATACCACACACACAGACACCACACCACACCCTACATGTACTACACATACACTGAACACACACACACCACATATACATAACCACCCATATACATACCCATCCCACACCACACCCACACATCACAGCACACCACACCCTACATACATCACATGTATATTGTACACACACCGTCACAAATACAGCACACAAAATACACATCACACATACACAAACACCACAAGTGCACACTGAGCCAGCCCCTATGGAGATACAGAGAAGGGCGCAGACTGTCTGCCTGCCTCCAGGCTGTCCACTGCACTCTTCCAGGGCACCTCCAGGCACCTGCTCCGCACCTGCCTGCACCCCACCACCTGCTGCAGAAGGGCTCTTCCCACTCTCTTCACCTTCTTCACTCTCTTCTCCCCAAATCCTGGGAGACAAGCCCAGTCGAGCCCTTCTGGTGGAGAGAGGATCACTTTCCAGCTCCTCCATGTGAGGGTGTTCCTGGTGATTGAGGACAAGAGAGGCATGTGGCTTAAAGCCAGCAGACCCTGCTGCAGCAGCACTTAGGGGTGGCCTGGGGCCTCCACAGGGAGTTTTCTTCCTGTCCTCCTCTGCTCCAGGATGCCACCCCAAGTCCCTGGCCCCTTCAGCACATGCTGTATCCCCCACCTCAGCAGCTATTTCCAGACAGTAAATAACACTTGCCCTGAAGTTTATCCCTCCAAAGTCCCCATGACACCCAGCACAGCACCTTGCACAAAAAACATCTTCAAAAGATGGATATGGATGAATTAGGGTTCAGCAGATGGGAACCATCAGTACCTGCTCATACTTCCAAGCCATTTCTCTTAAAAGGCACTGGAGCTAAGATCCTGAAAGACCTGCGTCTACTGTTATTGGAGGTGACAATTCAGATATGATGGGAAGACTTCCTGTTGATGGCATATTAATTTTATAGAATTAAAATAATGAACTCTGGTGATATCTTGGAATACATTAGTCTGATTTCCACTTCTTTCTCTTCCAGGGTCAGAAAGTTTGGATAGAGAAAACCTTTTGCAAACGGGAATGTATCTTTGTAATTCCCAGCACGAAAGACCCTAACAGGTAAATTAGAAGTCCCGATTAAGACATTATCCAAACCAGTGCTGGTTCACCAGTTGCCCAGTAACTATTCTTCTAGGGTTTGTGGGAGGGGTAGAGGTGTCAGTGAGGGTGGGCAGAATCTACTCCCCACGTGTAAGTCATTAACCCAGGGTTCATTTGGGCTAATAAGCTCCATAGCCTCAGAAAAGAGATTCCATCCATCACTCACCCTAATGTAAACTCTCATAACCAGATGGGCCCACAGCATTCCTTTTGGTCTTAGTGAGAACAAGGAACTGAGTGCTTTAGACAGATTTCCAGGATTTCCATCACACGAAAGATCTGAGTGGTTAAGTGAACTAGATACAACTTTACTAAAGGGCTTAACTCTTGCACAAAATGTTAAACAATTTCACTCATCTACATGAAAATGCATCTGTTATAAGCTGAACAGAAGGCCTCTTAAAGTCGTGCAAGCAATCAGAGAGAATTTAGCTAAAACTTCTCATCTCTGAGGGAAAAAGATATGAGGCAGAGTATGGGGGTTGGGGAAACCATTTACCCATATGTCCACCCTGTATGCATTCCATGCAGATAGGGTCATTGACAAAGAAGTATGCAGACTCTTAGAGACTACTTCGTTCAAATTTGTTTGGCACATGCAACCATAGTCCATCCCATGTCCCTAAGCTCCCCCCTTCACACAACACAGGTTCCTCTTCCTGTTTGAACCCCAGTGATTATCCCCCAAGATAAAAAATGTCATTATGGGACAATGCCAATAGTCACAAAAGTCTTCCCTTTGTTGCACCTAAATGTCCCTCCTTATATCAATGACACCCAGGCCCTCCTTGAGGGCAACTACCCATACCAGCCCTCTTTAGCACCTGCCATCCCTGTAGTCCCCACATGGCCAAATGGTCAGGCAGCAGAGGGGACAGAAGGGGCTTCAGGGTTCACACATAGGCCTCCTCTGTGAGTTCCATGTATGCTCCAGCATAAACTAAAAGAAACCTGGAATAATAAAAACAAACATTTAAAGCCCTGGAAATGGTCCCAAAGGCAAACAGCAAATGAAGAAATATCTATTCAAGAAAACCTACTAAAATTGAATAAGAATGACTAGGGTCTGTGGTATTTAAACCAAGAGAGCTTCCTCTCTCCATGCTCTCAGCTCAGCAAGGTAAACTCTGCTCCAGACTTCTGCAGCCAAAACACAGGGCTCACTCTCTTCCCAGCTCCCAGTCAGAAGGCTTCCTTCCAAGGAAAAGCAGGACCTCAGTATTTATCGTCCTGTCCCCAGCTACCTGTTGCTGAGGTGAAGCCCTGGGTGAGTGCAGTTGAGAGGTGAGAGTTTCTTTCTTCCACCTAGACCACACTCATGTAAACAGCAACCACAGAAAGTGGGAGTGGCTATGCTGATTTCAGACAAAACAGACTTTAAAACAAAAAATGTCACAAGAGATGAAGAGAGACTTTTTATAATTATAAAAGAGTCAACAGATCAGGAATTTATAGTAATTACAAATATATATGCAGCTAATATAGAGAGCATGAAAATGCATAAAGCAAAATTGATAAAAAATAAAGAGAGAAATGGATAATTCAATAATAATAGTTGGAGACATTAATACTCCACTTTCAATAATGGATAGAGCAACAAGACAGAAGATAAACAAGGGAATAGAAGACTTGAACAATCCTATAAACCAATTAGACTTAACAGACATCTATAGAACATTCTGACCAATAACAATAGAATATTCATTCTTCTCAAGTACACATGGAACATTCTCCAGGTTGGAACATATATTAGGCCATAAGATAAATCTCAACAAATTTAAAAGGACAAAAATAATGTAAAGTATGTTCCCTGACCACAATGAAATAAAATTAGAAATAAGAAAACAATAGCAGGAAAAACAATTTGAAACTCACAAATACATGTAAACAGTACACTTCTAAATAACCAGCAGGTCAAAGAATAAATCAAAAAGGAAATCTGAAAAATACTTCAAAATACATGAAAATAAAGACAACATACCAAAATTTATGGGACACAGCTAAAGCAGTGCTGAGATGAAACTTTATACCTGTAAATGTTTATATTAAGAAAGAAGAAGAGTCTTAAACAAATAACCTAAACTTTCACCATAAAGCACTGGAAAATGAAGAGCAAACTAAACCTAACGCAAGGTGAAGGAAGAAAATAATAAAGTTGAAGTTAATGAAATAGAGAACAGAAGAACAACAGGGAAAAATCAATGAAAGCTGTTCTTGGAAAAGATCAACAAATTTGACAACTCTTTAGCTGGATTGATGAAGAAAAAAAGTGAGAAAACTCAAATTACTAGAATCAGAAATGACGGGCCGGCCCGGTGGCGCACTGCTACAGTGCGCTGCTTGGGAGTGCGGCGGCGCTCCCGCCGAGGGTTCGGATCCCACATACAGACCGGTTCCCGCTCACTGGCTGAGAGAGGGGCGGGCGCAGCACCGAGGGTTGCGATCCCGTTGCCGGTCCCGGTCCGGTACGGGCACGACACTGAGGGTTGCGGTCCGTTGCCGGACACGAAAAAAAAAAAAAAAGAAATGAAAGAAACCTTGCAGAAAGAGAAATGAGTACTAAGGATACTATGATTTGTATGCCACCAAGTTAGATAACTTAGATGAAATGTGCAAATTCCTAGAAAAATACAAACTACCAAAACTGACTCAAAAAGAAATACAAAATCTGAATAAACTTATAAGTGAATGGATAGGATTAATAATAATAATAATAAAACAACTACCTACAAAGAAAGACTCAGCCCAGCCTTCTGTGCTGAATTCTACAAAATATTTTTTAAAAAAGAAATAATACCAATTCTTCACAAACTATTCCCAAAAAATAGTAGAGGAGGGAAGATTTCTCAACTCATTTCATGAGGCCAGTACTACACTAATATCAAAACCAGACAAAGGTATCATAAGAAAGGAAAACTACAGACCAATATCTTTTATGAACATGAATGCAGAAGCCCTGAACAAAATACTATCAAACCAAATTCATCAACATATAAAAATGATTTTACTCCATGGCCAAGTGGGATTTACCCCAGGAATGCAAAGTTGGATTAACATCAGAAAAATAATCAATGTAATACACCTTATCAACAGGATAAAAAGCAAAAATCACATGATTATCTCAATAGACACAGAGAAAATACTTGACAAAATCCAACGCTTTGTATGATAAAAACACTTAGAAAACTAAAAGCAGAAGGCAACTTTATCAACCTGACAAGGGCATCGATGAAAAATTCACGGCTAACATCATACTTAATGGTGAAATATCACATGCTTTTTCCTTAAGATCAGGAACAAAACAAGGATGACCATTATTGCCACTTGTACTCAAGACTCTACTGGAAGTTCTAGCCAGGGCAATTAGGTAAGAGAAAAAAATAAAAGGCATCCAGATTGGAAAGGAAGAAGTAAAACTACCTCTATTCGCAAGGGATGTAATTTTGTATATAGAAAATGCTAAAGAATCCTCTGAAAAACTATTAGAACTAATAAGTTCACCAAGGTTGTAGCATACAAGATCAATATACAAAAATCAAGTATATTTCTATATACTTGCAAAGAGCAATATTAAAATGAAATTAACAAAACAGTTCCATATACAGTAGCAACAAAAAGAATAAGATACTCAGGAATAAACTTAACAAAAAAGTGCAAAACGTATACCCTGAAAACTACAAAGCATTGTTGAAAAAAATTAATGAAGATCTAAATAACTGGAAAAAAATCCCATGTTCATCAATTGGAAGACTTATCATTGTGAAGATGGCAACACTCCCAAAATAATCTATAGATTCAACTCAATCCCTATCAGAATCTTGGTTGACTTCTTTGTAGAAACTGAAAAGCTGATTTTAAAATTCATACAGAATTGCAAGGGATCCAGAGTAGCCAAAACAATCTCGTAAAAAAAGAACAAAGTAGGAGGATTCACATTCTTGATTTCAAAACTTACTACAAAGGTACAGTAATTGGAGTTTGGTGGTACTGGCATAAGGACAGACTGATAGATCAATGGAATAGAATTGACAGTCCAGAAATAAGCTCATACGTGTATGGCCAATTTATTTTTTCAAGGGTTCCAAGATCACCCAAAGAATAGTCTTTTCCACAAAAGGTGCTGGAACAACTGGATAGCCACACGCAAAAGAATGGATTTGGACACTTATTCTTCATACCATGTATGAAAACTAACTCAAAGTGGATCAAAGAGCTAAGTTTAAGAGCTAAAACTATGAAGTTCCTAGAAGAAAACATAGGGATAAGTCTTCATGATCTTGGATTCGGCAAAAGAGTTTTAGATAGGGCACCAAAACATGAGCAATGAGAAATAAATAAATTGGACTTTATCAAAATTAGACACTTTTGTGTTTCAAGGGACACACTATCAGGAAAGTGAAAAGACACCCCACAGAATGGGAGAAAATATTTGCAATTTGTGTATCTGACAAGTAACTCATATCCAGAACATATAACGAACTCTTACAATTTAATGATAAAAAGATAAATAACCAAGTTTAAAAATGGGTAAAGGATCTAAATAGACATTTCTTCAAGGAAGATACACAAATAGCCAATAAGTGCATGAAAAGATGCTTAATATCTTTACTCATTGTAGAAATGCAAATAAAACCACAATGAGATACCACTTTACACCCACTAGGGTGACTAGAATAAAAATGTCAGATAAGATAAGAAGTGTTGGAGAGGATGTGGTGAGATCTGAACCCTCGCTGGTGGGAATGTAAAATGGTGCAGCCACTTTGGAAAACAGTTTGGCGATTCCTCAAATGATTAAACATAGAGTAACCAAATAACCCAACAATTCCACTCCCAGGTATATACTCAAAATGAAAACATATGTCCACATAAAAACTTGACCATAAATGTTCATAGCAGCATCATTCATAATAGTCCAAAAGTGCAAACAACCTAAATGTCCACCAACCCAAATGATGAATGGATAAACAAAATGTTCACATATTCATACATTGGGATATAATCAGCCATAGATGGGAATAAAGTGCTGACACATGCTACAACATGTATGAACCTTGAAAATGTGCTAAGTGAAAGAAGCCCATCACAAAAGACCATGTATTATGTAATTCCATTCATATGAAATATCTAGAATAGGTAAATCTATAAAGACTGACAGTAGATTTGTGATTACTTATGGCTGGGGGAGGGGGTGCACATATAGATGAGGAGTTAGAGGAGTAACAGCTAAAGGGTACAAAGTTTCTTTCTGAGGTGATGAAAATGCTCTAAAGTGAACTGTGGTGATGGTTGCACACATCTGTAAATACTAAAACCATTGAATGGTACACTTTAAATGGATCAGTGTGTGAATTTTATTTCAGTAAAGCTGCTGTTGCAAGGAAGGGAGGGAGGGAGGAAGAAAAAAGGAAAGAAGAAGAAAGAAAGAAAACCTGGAGTGGTAGCCCACACCACTGCTAAAGCAGCCAGAAATGCAGGGAGAAAGCTCCAATGCTGGCCACACAGGGCACAGAGAGTCTCCTGGCAAGGACCCCCACATGCACCACACATGTGCACACACCCACACATCTAGCCCAGTAAAGATGTCATCTCTAGTCACCATGTCAACTCCATTGCCAGCTCTTTCACCTCCAGCTCCCCCACCCACTTGTTGGTGAGCAGGACTGCCCATGCAGGCTCCTCGTGGGTCTGGGAGCAGACCTGACCTCCGTGCCTCCCCATGTCACAGGCCCCTGGATTCCACCTGCACCAATATGTCACTCTAGGCTTCTGCTGTTCTTCCTAACAGACATTTCCAGTTTTAGGTGGGTCCTGTTCACCCAAATATATGAGCCCTGAAAAAGGCTGAGAGACAAGTGAAACCCTAGACATGCTAGAAAGGGAGCTTGCACGAGATCGAGGACCATCTCAGAGAAGACCAGAGAGGGTGCTGGGAGAGTACAGCACTTGCCTGAGTTTGGGGAAGATGCTGTAGAACAAGATCCCTGAAGCTGGGACAAGTTATGGCCCAATGGGCCAGCTGCCTAAGGCAGAAAAAAGACACGCTGGTAATTTTTGAAATATGCTTTCAATGTTACTTGGGTAAAGAAATGTTTTACTAAGCAACAGAAGAATTCAACAATATTGAAAAATCCTGGAAGGTCAACTTTATGTTCGGAGGGCATGACTGTACTTTGTCACAGAATGTTTGGTAACTGATACGCATATTAATGTTGTCTAGACATTTTAAAAGGTTAAAATATGTTCTGTAAAGAAGGGCAACCATCCAATGCATTTAAATTGATATGTGTTGATAACCAGAAAAGGCTACTATAAGGGGCATTTTGGTCCCCAGTAAAGCTGGATAAGTAAGGTGCTGTTATGCACCTGTTCGGGTGCAACTTACCTGTTCAGGTTAACTCATCTTCACTAATGGAGAGGAAAGGAGAAAAGTGTTATGAAAGCCTCTGCCTTTGTTCTCAGGTGTTGCTGTGGCCAGCTTACCAACCAGCATATTCCCCCTCTGCCGAGTGTAACACCCAGCAAAAATGGAGAGGAAAACAAACTGGCAGAGACCCAGCCCGAAAAGTGGTCTGTCGGCAAACACACCCAGAGCTACCCAACAGATTCCTATGGGATTCTCGAATTCCAGGGTGGTGGCTACTCCAATAAAGCCATGGTAAGAGAGGCATTTGGACAAGGTGGCTCTGGGACCATGGCTTTCATCAGAGGCCAGCCTCCCAGACCACAGACTGTAGATGCCTGGGTCGTCTTCAGGGGTGTGGCTCAAGCTTCCTAGATATTTCATCACGAAGCCAAGAGATATAGCTGCATACATGGCTTATTAGCCATGAGATTTGGAAGTGACGCCATCATAAAGAACACATAGTGTCCCCTAAATCCATACTAAAGCTCTGAATCCATAAACTATGTATCAGCCCAATTCCACATTCCACATTCTACTGTTCCATCTCCAGTGATGGGAAAAACATTACCTCTTTAAAAAAAAAAATAACCGCCAACCCGTGAACCCCCTCAGATGTGTTGGGAGACTCTGGAAATATTTTCCTCTGAAGTCTGTCCATCCCCTCCCTGAGCTTGCACTCAGCTGGCCTAAGAAAGACTGAGGTCTCTCACATTTGCATGCAAACGGGAAGTGCTCTCTGCCTTTCTCATGGCCCTGCCAGAGACAGAAGGCTTCAGCATTACGACCTCTTTCAGCAAATTCTGAATTACTCCCACATGCCCAGCCAGATCATATTTGCAATTTCATTTTATTCCGCTGGCCCAACTTCATCGTTCAAATAAAATTCAGTTGTGTTCCAAATACCACAACATGCGGTCTTCTGGAATGGTACCCTACATATTGGCATGGACACAAAGAAGCAATTCACAGAGACTCAGATATCTGACCATTAACCTCTTCTTCCTCCTGAGGAAAAGGTCAAGTCCAGATATGGGCCCATGATCCCCTTTGCCACACACTCAACAGCAATCCTTGTCCAACTTCTTGGGCCATTGTTCTAGCTGAGCAGGCTTTGGATTGATTCCTCCAAGGTTACCATTGCCAGAAAGATACAGGACACCCAGTTATATGTGAGTTTCAGACAAACAGTGGATAATTTTTTAGCATAAGTATATTCCAAATATTGTGTGATTTATTGCATTTAGTAAACATAATGTACTAAAACATTTTTTGTTTTTTATCTAAAATTCAAATTTAACTGGGTGTCTTAGTCCATTTGGCTGCTATAACAAAATACCTCAGACTGGGTAATTTACAAACAACAGAAATGTATTGCTGACAGTTCTGGAAGCTGGGAAGTCCAAGATCGAGGTGCCAGCAGATTCAGTGTCTCGTGAAGGCTCATCCTCCGCTTCATAGATGGCACCTTCTTGCTGTGTGCTCAAAAGGCACAAGGGGCAGAAAAACTCCCTCAGGCCTCTTTTACAAGGGCACTAATCTCATTCATGAAGGTTCTGCCCTCATGACCTAATCACCTCCCAAGGCCCACCTCTTAAGACCATTGCATTGAGAATTGGGTTTCAACATATGAGTTTGGGGTAACACAAACATTCAGACCAAGCACTGGGCATCCTGTATATTCATTTGTTAAATCTGATAGCCCTTATCAAAGTTCCCTTTGGTCACTTACACACAGACTCACGCAAAGGGCCCCCAGGACACTGAGGGCGAGACAAGCCAGACAGTTTTTGCTTGGACATGAGCAATAGCCCCGCTCCCCTTTGACACGAGAAGCAAAACCAAGAACAGGTACTGCACGTCCCACGCTCTTTTGCAGTATATCCGTGTGTCCTATGACACCAAGCCAGATTCGCTGCTCCATCTCATGGTGAAAGACTGGCAGCTGGAACTCCCCAAGCTCCTAATTTCCGTGCATGGAGGCCTTCAGAACTTTGAGATGCAGCCCAAGCTGAAGCAGGTCTTTGGGAAAGGCCTGATCAAGGCTGCCATGACCACGGGGGCCTGGATCTTCACTGGGGGCATCAGCACAGGTAAGAGCAGGCCTCTACCTCACCACAAATACACACACCCAGAACTCAGGGTGGTCCCAAAGAGCTTTCTAATAATTAAGGTCAAAAACCAAAACATATTGCATCCTGATCATATTTGTGACAAAAAGTGAAATCTTAATTCAATAGCTTGTATTTTTTATTTTGATGTGATTTATTTTGTTTAAACAACAAATATAATAACAATAGTGATACCAATAAACATCTAGATCACCTATGATGTGCTATTCCTTGAACTGAGCCCAGTACAAGCATCATCTTACTGAGTCTCTCCACGATCTTTTCCCCATCTTATGGGAGAGGAAACAGGCTAGCGAGGTTAAGGAACATGTCATGCAGCCTGGCTCTTGAGTTTAGCTGAATGCAGCCAAGGACTGCCAAAGAGACCCCAGTGACTTCCACCTTTGGGTCTTTGAAACTTATAAAGGAAATTCCTGCACAGTTGTTTTGGTTTCTGCACTTGATATCCCTTTTCTAGGAGCTAATGCAGAATTACTAGTTATTGTGAGTTCAGACTTTCAGTATACTTTCTTTTAATGATGAAGATGAGTATGTATCATCTCTGCTCCATAGGGAGTGTAGCAGCTCAGAGCGGGTGTCCCTAAAGTTCATGAGTGGTGGTTTGATGGGAAGTAGAAGGGCCTAAAATAGGACTTATGGCTGTTCATAGGTGTCATCAGCCATGTGGGGGATGCCTTGAAAGACCACTCTTCCAAGTCCAGAGGCCGAATCTGTGCTATAGGAATTGCTCCATGGGGCATCGTGGAGAATAAGGAAGACCTGGTTGGAAAGGATGTAAGTTTTTTCTCCACAGACTTTAGCATTTTTTAAAATTAAAGTCTTTATTTTGATACTCTGGTTTCTCTTCAGATCATATAAATCTTTTGCCTTTTAAAGCCTTTATTTTGAAATACTTGTGGATTTAGATGCCATTGTAAGAAATAATAAACAGAGCTTCCCTGTACCTTTCCCCTCTCCCCCAGTGGTAACATCTTGCAAAATTATAATACAACATCACAGCCAGGAAATTGACATTGATATAGTCAAGATACAGAATATTTCTATCCCCCATAGGACCCCTCCTGTTGCCCTTTAATATCTCTACCTAATTCCCTCCCAACCCCACTTCCTCCTTAACCCCCGGCAACCACTAATCTGCCCCCCTTTTAAAGAATGTTATATAAATGGTATCATATAGTATGTAATCTTTGGAGACTGGCTTTTTTCACTGCACATAGCTCTCTGGCCATTCATCCAGGTTGTCATGTGTATCAATAATTCATTCCTTTTTATTGCTGAGCAGTATTCTGTGGTATGAACGTATCACAGTTTGTTTAACCATTTATCTGCTGAAACGGACACGTGGGCTGCTTGCAGTTTGGCTGTTTCAAGCACAGAGGCCATAAGCATTCATGTACAGGATTTTGTGTTAATGTAATTCTCATTTCTCTGATTTCTTCAGGAATGCAATTGCTAGGTTGTCATTACCTAAAATAATTATTTTTTTTTCTATTTTAACATAACAATTGGCAAAACAAAACCCAAAAGCCCTGTGATAGGTGGGTAGAGGAGTGAGAATAGGATTAAGTGCAGCCATTACACATGCAGGTATTCAGCTGGCTTCCCCTCTTAGGCTCACTATCAAAGTTCTAATTTGCAGCTCTGATTTGCGTTGTGTCTTTTGTCAGGTAACAAGAGTGTACCAGACCATGTCCAACCCTCTCAGTAAGCTCTCTGTGCTCAACAACTCGCACACGCACTTCATCCTGGCTGACAACGGCACCCTGGGCAAATACGGTGCTGAGGTAAAGCTGCGGAGGCAGCTGGAGAAGCACATCTCTCTGCAGAAGATCAACACGAGTAAGTTCCTGTGAAGGGCACGGGTAGCACTATGGGGCCTGATGCCACCACCAGGAAAACCAGGCTGAGAAGGAAATTGCCCAAAGGCGTCAAAAGCTTTAAACTTGATTCCTGTTAAATCAAAAGAAAATGGCTCACCTAGACCTTTTACCTCAGCCACCTACCAAATCACATGCACTGGGCTATGTTGTGATGCTTTGCTCCAAGTTCACGGCTGGTGCAAGAAACAACCCTGCCGTGGTCGTCATGGCGATGGTATTGCACACCATGTTGCATTCGAGTATAACTAGTACAGGAACTCTACATTGTTCTGAAACCCAAATTTTTTGTATAACTTGAGAAATGAGGGAGGGAAGGCACACCATGTTGCCCAGTGGTTCTTGTTCCCTTAATTACTTTTGTTATTTGTTACATCTTTTAACAGGAAAAGATGTCTCTCTCAAAGACTTAGTATGATCTCCTTTTGTTGGTTGATAAGTGTTCTATGATCATGAAATCTCTCTGTGGCTCTGGGTCTCTCCCCCAGACTAAGTTGGCCAAGTGGGGGCTGGAGGGGGCTGCAGGAGCCACTTGCTCCTGATGGGGCATTGTCCTTGCTGGTGCAGTGGCACAGCCCTGAGGGGAAGCTGCCTCCGTCAGGAGAATGCTGAGGTTGAATCAGAGAGAAAGGAACAAACCTCAACAGATAAAAAGATATTAACCGCTGATTAGAATTAAAATAACTGCTATAATCTCTTGGAACATGTTCATACTCCACCAATTCTTACTGTCCAACAATTGTCAAGTGATCTTAAAGGGTATTTTGTTTTTATGATTACTGGTGAAATTTTTGTGAAAGACAATCTAGGCCTGGAAAATGATTGGTATAAAGCAGAATTTAAGGGACTGTGATGCTGGCTGGAATGGGGATGACCTACTATGAAAAGCTGTGGATTTCCAAGAACTGATTCTCAATGGATAAATTGGTTGATGACTAATTTTTTTGTTCTCACATGTCTAATTTTTCTGGACTTGTGAGTTGCACACCGTCCAACTTCACCAGCCCTGTGACCTGTGGGCTTCCCTTTGTCATCCTTTGCCTAGGCTCTGAGTGGGGCAGGGACAGCAAAGGGGTGCTCAGTCGTCACCTCCCACAACACGGAGCTTCCAGGAGTCCAGCCTAAGCCAAGAAGAACTGGTTCTACTCTGTTTCTAGAAAAGAAGGGGATTTGGCCACCATATTCCTGAAGATCTGAAATACCAAGCCTGGCTTGGGCTGGAAATCTCAAAGGCAGAGTTGTGTCATCCTGATCTTTTTTTTCAGTATCTCTTGGTCAGGGATTGGCACCAAGCAAACCCTCAATACATATTCACTGAAATGAACTTAGTTGGAATTATCCTGCCGGGAGACAGCAAAGTCATTCAAAATAGTTGAGTCCCTAACTATAAAAACACATCACGGAAGCAAACCAGAAACTATGAGTTCGCTCACTTGCATTCTTAAATCTTCTCACAACCTATGCAAGCAGATTTCATCTGAAGCCCTTCAGAGCTGTGAGACCAAGGACACCTCCTGCTTGCCATTTGTTAATATTGATCAATTAATTCCCATCTAATGGACACCTGGTGGAACATGTTCAGAATATAATCTGTCATGGCAGATTTGGGGTAAAATTGTGAAATAGGTGAGCTTGTCTTCTCTACTCCCACTACCTTCACTCTCCAGAATCCTAGTTTCCAGAATCCTCCCACTGCCCTCTGCTCCCCAGCGCCCACCCACCTAGTGCTGCCAAGAAAAGTTAGCCTGAGCCTCCTGTATTCTTGAAAAGTCCTATTATCTGACAAAGACAGAGGGAGGAATGTGGGGACACATTGTTAACTGATGGGCTATAGTGGTCCATGTGTTTGCCTCCAAGACCACAACTGCTTTATTCCAGGCACTGGAATGACAATGGCATACCACATTTGTATGCAAAATACTGTAATAGCCACACATGTTCTTATATTTCATAGCTATTGCTCCATCAGGAGAAAAAGGAGGTGGTATAATTATTCACCTTTTATAGACCTTTTACAGATGGTTGTCTAAGGTTCATGGTGGTTTGGGGACTGGCCCAATGTCATGAGGCTAATATAGGAGAGGACAGGAATTGAACTGAGTTCTCCTGTGGCTGTCACTGTGTTGTTACCTAGGGGACAGCCATCAGGGTGGGAATCTCAGACCCCAGGGCAGGGCAGCAAGGGAGCAAGGAGCATCTTCCCATGTTTCTCATGGCTCACCTTGAGGTAGCCCGCAGGCCAGGTGGGTCATAGGTGGAGTTTAACCACATGAGACTCAGAAAGTTTCAGATTCTAAGGTTCTGGTTTTTCCAGTGGGGCAACAATATGGGGTTTGGATACAAGAATGAAAACAATCATCACATGTCTGAATTCCTTCCAGCCTCTTGGTAACACGATCAGCACAGGGAGCATCAGTCAGGACATAAAGTCTTCACGCTGCCTGTATTTCAGGAACTAGGATGAGTGGGCGGGCAGTGCCCCACATTAACCCAAGTGGAGTGTGTGTGGTTTGTGTTGCAGGACTGGGGCAGGGGGTGCCCCTCGTGGGCCTCGTGGTGGAAGGGGGCCCCAACGTGGTCTCCGTGGTCTTGGAATACCTCCGAGAAGACCCTCCAGTCCCTGTGGTGGTTTGTGACGGCAGCGGACGTGCCTCAGACATCCTATCCTTTGCACACAAGTACTGCGAAGAAGGCGGGTAGGACTTATGACACATGACAGAGGGGGGTTCTTCAGTGCCTCCTCGGTAGGCCAAGAAGAAAATCTGAAGTGATCCACTTAGACATTCCAGAAATGTTTAAATCATGGAGATTTACTAAATCTCCTCTCCCATTCCTGCGGCCTGCATGCGGGAGCTGCCAGGAGTGTGGCGTTTCTGCCTCTCTGGTAGAACATGCCCTCTTCCAACCTCGTTTTCCCTTGTGAGGTCTGCAGCCAGGCTGGCAGTTAGGACAAGCGTGAATGCAATTTTTGACTATTGTCACTTTTTGTCTCCTGTGCCGGGACACCCTCCAACAGCAAAGTCCCCAGTCAAAGATGTCAGATGCACACAGAGACATCTGATGGACTCACATAGGGATTTAACTTGCAACGTTTTGTTCTCTTTTGCATTTCCTTTGAACAGGATAATAAATGAGTCCCTCAGGGACCAGCTTCTAGTCACCATTCAGAAAACGTTTAATTACAACAAGACACAGTCACATCAGCTGTTTGCAATTATAATGGAGTGCATGAAGAAGAAAGAACTTGTAAGTGTTTTGAATTACCTTCCCAACAAGACCCACAGAGAGAATTGTGTTTCCTTTTTTAACTCTGCCCGTGTGTGCTCGATGGAGTTGGTCATATTTTAGTTCAGCCTTTTCCAAGAAGCACTTTACAAATCCGCACCGAATTGGCAGTTGTGTCCACGTGATGGAAGCAGAACAAGCCCAGGCAGAGGAGGGTCTGGGTGCCTCAGACCTTAGCAAACGTGAGGTGACATCACACCACACGGCACAACCCTGAGGTGCATAATGTTAATCAGGTTTACAGACTCAGGGAAGAGGGACATAGACCACCCTTTTAGACACTCTTACCAGGTCCTATCATCTCACTCTCCAAATGCAGTAATTATTTCCCATTCCTTCCTTCCTTAATTGTGTTTATAAGGGATAGGCACTCTGGTTGCGCACATAAGACGGCCTCTTTGTAACTGTAAATTTACAGATTTCCTAAAAATATATCCTATCTGATTAGATATGATTTTATCACTTCCCATGGTGATTTAGGTATTGGAGTATAGATCCTGCAGGGGGTCCCTCCCCTGGAGGATGTTGGAGCAGACCCAGTAAAGAATAAAATCAGAATCCAGGCAAGGATTCATGGTCAGCGAGAGCAATGCCGTAACTTCTGTAAATCAGAAGCACTTGATGTAAAACCATTCAGCTCTCAGAACCATCTCATTACTTGTCAGTGTCTATGGTCAGTTTCAAAAACACCCCAATTCTGCCCTCTGTTTCAACTTTGTTTTAACTTAGTCTTTTCACGATTAACCTGTCTTCAGGTCACCGTGTTCAGAATGGGTTCTGAGGGTCAGCAAGACATTGAGATGGCCATTTTAACTGCCCTGCTGAAAGGTGAGCTCCCAAGGAACAGTGACTCTTATCGTTTCCACGCTAGACTGGCCTAGGGCTTTCCCTGTGACTGGGACTGTGTCAGTTGGTGACAGAGCCCTGAGCCAGCCAGGCTGGCCAGAACAAGCTCAGCACGAAGCCATGGCAGAATGACTAAGACTCAGAATGGGTTTCTGGGGGGCAGCAGAGATCTGTGGGTGCCCACAGACCATGATGGGCTGAAGTCACAACTGCTTTCATTTATAGCCGGTTCTTTGACAGCTTCAACTCAGACAGTGTAAACCTGGAATGCATTTCACCTGCCGTCACTTCATTTGGCCATACTCTGTGCCATTCACCGGCCACCCCTAATGACAGGCTTCAACCTGGTGCTCATGGGTGGGATCTGCTCCAGGATATGACTTCCTCCCTGGCTCTCAGCTAGACTGGGGACAAGAGGGGGGCAGGAGGTGTAGAGAGTGGGGTTCACCGTGGGGCTGGCTGCCCGGCAGCCCTGTGCTGGTCTCCTTGCAGGCTGGGGAGCTGGTACTCTTGGGGTGGTCAGGCCATGGGGTGTCTGGAAGATATTTGGGTAGTCCCAGAGTTCCTGCCCTTTTGCAGATGAGGGTCCTGAGTCACTGGGTTCCTCCACTGTCCCTCCCAAGAAAACCGTGCAGAGCTAGCATGGAACAAGCTGGCTTTTTCCTTCGTCCTAAGAAGCTCTTTGAGATTAGGGAGCTCTTAGCTCCTGGGGCCGCAGGGGCGATTCAGGGGCAAAAGGCAAGGCGGCGATGCTTATTAGCTCCAGGCCAGCGCTGAGCCTGCCCGGGAGGCCTGTGTTCACTGCCCACACCTGCCAAACCAGGCAGCCCAGGCACAGAGTGAAAAATCACTCTTGTTTCTTGCCTTTCCAGGAACAAATGTATCGGCTCCAGATCAGCTGAGCTTGGCCCTGGCTTGGAACCGCGTTGACATAGCTCGAAGCCAGATCTTTGTCTTTGGGCCCCACTGGCCGGTGAAACTAAGTTTTTTCAATTCATATCACTTACCATGACTTTGTACAGATGATGTACTAGTAGTATGTTCTCTCTTGTGCCATGGATCTCAGGAAATTATCTGGGGTTTCTGATGATCTGATGTGTAAATCCATTAGGATTATTAGAAGATGTTGCTGTTTAACTTCAAAGAACAAACAAGAAGTAAGAGCCATGAGCACTAATTCCAGATTCAAACCAGTCCTCTTGAAGAAATTAACCACTAAATATTTTATCTTTGCTGTTGAAAGCGGGGTTTCACCTTTTTAAAGAAAAAGAAGAAAGAAAATATCTCATTAAATGAAATACAATGCTCCCATCCAGGGCACTGAGTTTTCATATTGTTTCATGAAACCCTGGAGACTCAGAGAAGTCTGTGCATGTGTGTGTGTGTGCATGTACGTGTGTCTGATGTGTATTTGATCTTTGGGTGTTGTGTTTGTGGTACAGTGTTTGTGGTGTAGTTTACTGCGTCTTGTGTGGTGCGTCCGTGTACAGCATGTTGGTGGGGTAACGTGAATGTGTGATGTGTGATGTATGTGTGTGGTGTCTGTGTGTGAAGGTGTGTAATGTGTGTGGGGGAGTACAGCATGGGTGTATGTGGGTATGTAATATGTGAGGGAATGCCAGTGTGTGAGATAAGTGGTGCAGATGTCGTGGAGGGAGTGTCTGTGTGTATGTGATATGTGCTGTGTCTGTATGTGTGTGGTTATGTGTAGGATAGTCACGTGTGTGGGCATGGGTGGTATTGTGTGTCTGTATGGCTATGGGGGAGTGCACTGTGGGAGACATGGTGTGTGTGCATGTGCACACACACACACACACACACACAGTGAGCACTGTGATAGACAGCTCTAGGCCTCCTACTCCTCTTTCAATCAAAGCAGCTTCTTTGACCCATTTTGTAGATTGGGATTCAGGGTAAACTTTTGTTTGCAAAAAGAGCTCTGCTGCTTAAAAAGGGGGGTGAGGGTAACTAGAGGGTTCATGTCAGGTTTTAAATACTGTATGTCTTAAAACATGCCTGGCATATTGCTGCATAAATGCATTTCATTTTTTGCAACAATTAATTTTTATCAAATTAGTGGGACCAGTTTATGGAAGAAGATGAATATATGAGTATTAAAGAAATAAGATATTGGGAGGGGGAGTGTTTGTGTGTGTTGCTTATTGAATTATCCAAATTAAGAAAAATAGTACCATACCTTGAATATTTGCATTTCCTTTTTAATCTTTTGGATTCTTTTCACTCTTAGTAAAGGAATTCAGAGCAAAATTAATTACTCCATGAATGGTTATGAGGCAGAATGCTGTGGCAAAGAATCTAGAAGATTCCAGAATATTTAACAAGGAAGGGCTTGCTATTCAGAAGGTCTTAAGACCTTCTACTCAGGAAGAAGGAGTCCTGGGATCTTTGTTTTATTCTTTTTCAGAGAGTAGCAGCTTCGCTGAGGACACATTTCCAAGTCAGCCACAGGGAGAGAGCCATGATTTCCAGAATGTAGAAAGAGCTGAACCGAGGGAACTGGCCCCGACATGCAGGCCCTGTGTGGTCTAAGTGACCACCTACATCCCATCTTCACATTATAAAAGCAATAAGTAATTTTTAGAAGATGTAGAAAATAGAGACACACTAAAAGAAGGAAACAATGACTCATACCCCACCACTACAGAAAAACTCTGCAGTACTGGGTGTGTTTTATAATCTCATTTTTCTGCTCAATGTATTGGCATTAAATGTTCTTCAACTATCTTTTTAATGCTGCTCAGTATTCTTTGCTTTCTATTACCCACTTCATACAAAAATATGGTTTTAATATTAAATAATGAAGAAGACCATAAAATGACAATCAGAAAACCCCTGACCCACCTCGAAAGCATTTAACTATCTCTATGTTCAGGGGTCCCAGCAATCGCCTCCATACATTGACATGGCCCGTTTTATCACTCTTTCTTGATGGATGATGTGCAGACATACCCATCAGTTCTCCACTTCAAAATAGAAAGAAGTGGATTGCTTGCATTGCTTCCACCTCCCCCAGCCTTCTATATTTGACAGTTGCCTGCTGAATTCTTTTATTGGTCACCTTTATAATCATCTATTTATTCAATCAACTTCAGGTCCTATTTTGTAAAATGAGGAATTAGCTCAATACTTCTTCCTCTCCTTACACCTCCACAATTCATCAGCTTCTCCTTTTGTTTGGTTGATATAGTTAGCATTTACATACCATTTTTTTAGTCATTATTAAGATTCTGTTTACATCTTGCTCTTTAATCATCATTAAGTTTTCATTCTTGGTCTCTGTGTTGATTCCAAAAATGAAGAAACCAGCAGATTTTACACTGTTGTGATTACACAGAGGTTGTTCACTGCTGAACCCAACAGTAGGGTTGAATTCAAAGAGAAGGAAAGGCAGCCCTGGGTCACTCACCTGGCCCACACAAAGGAAACGGGACAAACATCAAGGTTTTTATAGTTCATCAATTATTTAAAATTTTGTGACATTTTAGTTTCCATTATATTTGGACCATGACTTCTTTGAATAGATAGATTTTTGCTTTTCTCTGCATTTCTAATTGAGTCTCTTCTTTTTCCTTAACATTGGCCTTCACATCATGAAGACTTATCTGTTTTCTTAATCATTACCATCTTGTTTCTTCTGGAAGAATCTTTCGAAGCCCCATGAGTTCCTGCCCCCATCTGCCCTGGATGCTCTCAAAGCCTGCTGTTCTCTGAGACCACTGCTTCCTAGACCTCATATTTTACTCCCTCTCAGATTCCTTTTTCATTTTGCTAGTGCATATCCTCAAGTAACTTTTTCATGAAAGCATGTGGAAAGATTACCATTCTGTGTCTTTTCATGTCTGAAAAATGCCTGCCACACACAAGGCTAATGATTGTCTTATGGTTCTCATTCAGTTACAGATGAACCACTATTTTCTCTCAGATACATTTGAAGATCTGCTCCTTATTTCTTGGTGCTTTGAAATTTCACAAGTACACATGAAATGAAAATAGAAGTATGTACAGAATACATACTCAAGCACTCAAATCCCCACTCATGTATCCATTCATTCTGCTTGGCTGTTAAAGGCCCCTTTATGCTGAAGACCTGAGCCAGCTCTGTGAACTTTTCTTCTATCATTTCTTTGAGTATTTTTTTTTCTTTGTTCATTTTCTCTCTCATCTGAAATTCCTATTTTTTTAAAGTTTATTTATTAATATTATTATTTTTTTACATTCTAAGATGTTCCTGTGGAGCAGTTGGAGGGAGGGGGAGAGGGGAACAGGGAAGGAAATAGGGTGGGAGAAGGAGGGAGGAGGGAGGGCATGATTGAGGCCTGTGGCACCCCCCTCATTCCAGCAGGGGAGCCCAGAGTGCTTCCTGTGGTGGCCTGGTGGTCATCGCTGGGCTGGTTGTGGGTGTCAGGGGGCATGGCTGAGACCCCCAGCCATCCCTGCTCCTTGGCTTGGTAGCCCAGGGGGCTTCCAGTTCTTCTAGGTTTTATAGGTATTCTTTGGTGATGTGAGACCTTTACTAGTTAATATCAAACTTTGTCTCTGGTCTGTGAGTATTTTGTCTTTTCCTTCACTTCTGTGTTGGATTATTAGCTACTCCCACCACTTAAACTCTGCAGTGGAACTAATTTGTTGTCCTTTGCTTACTTCTAAAATGGGGGAACTTCCTGTGGGGACCAGTGCTTGAGCCCTGTGGTTGAGCTAAATTGTTGCTTTGTTGCTGATTCTCTGGGGAAGGCTTTTTGTGCAGCTCAGGTTTTTTTTTTTTTTTTTGAACCGGTCTGTATGTGGGATCCGAACCCTCGGCGGGAGCACCACCGCGCTCCCAAGTGGCGCACTGTAGCAGTGCGCCACCGGTCCGGCCCGCAGCTCAGGTTTTAATTGTTGACCTTATATATATTTCTGTGAGGTCCTGTGAGGTCCAATACACCTGGGTTGTATGGAAACTCTGGTCTGGGCCTGAGACTTTTCAGCAAACTGCACCCCCTGCAGTTCTATATTCCTGACCAGTCTCCTCTGAGTGGTCCTGCACTGATTGGGGGGCAGATCAGCTGTCCATGCTGTGTCACAGTGTTCCCCTGGTGGGCCCATCTCCCCCACCGCCCACACTCCAAACACTTTTCATGGCATGGGCCATGTGCAGTGACACACTGGCCTCTGAGTGGCTCCTGTTTTCAGTTGTTCTGGCTCCTCACTCTTGCGTGGGTCCACGGGAACCCTGTTAGTGGTCTTGCTGGCCTGAGGGCCACCAATGCCCTCTTCTCCCCTGCCGCCTCTAAGCAACTTCATATGAAGGGCACGGCTGCAGCTTTCGTCAGCTCTTGCTCCATGTGCTCACCAGGGCCAGCCTTGAAGTGGCCTAAATTCAAAATGCTAGCTTCTCATCATAGCTTCTCCTGCCTTCATGCACTTCATAGGTCTCTCCTCCTCTTCCCTTGAGCTCTAGCATCCCCAGCTTGGCTGTCGTTGCTTTTTAATAGTTGTAAATTGGTTGATTTGTGGGAGAGAGTGATGCTGTGGACCGTCTATTCTGCCATCTTGTGTACTCCTGGAATTCCTATTAGTCAAGCAAATACTGGTCCCTTTTTGCTGGATTGACCCTTCATTCCCTCATTTTCATCTCTCTATCCTTTTTCAGTATGTTTTTGGAAATCTCAACTTTTTCTTCAGCTTTCATACTAATTTTTAAAATTTGGGGCAATCATATTTTTATTATCTAAAAAAACACTCTTGTTCCCTGATGCTTCCATTTTCATATGAGTCTATTTTTATCTCATAGATGCAATATCTGGGGATACAAATTGGATTTTTAAAGTTTTCTTCTGTTCCCTGCATGATCTCTATTTTCTCCCTTGTCAGCTCTCCCTTTATTCATTTTGTCCTTTTCTGTTATGCTGTTGATTTTCTCAAATGCTGTAGATTCTTGGTTGTTCATCCACATTTCAGGAAAAGGGACAG